CAGCAGCAGCAGCAGCAGCAGCGGCAGCGGGGGTGCGGTGGGCGCGGCAGCAGCCGCAGGAGCGGGCGTGGGGTGGGCGCAGCAGCAGCAGCAGCAGCAGCAGCAGCAGCAGGAAGAACAGCGGCGAGAGGAGAGTAGCAGCAGCAGCAGCAGCAGCAGCAGCAGCAGCGAAGCGAGGAGCAAAAGCACGGACTGCACGCAGCAGCAGCAGCAGCAGCAGGAGAAGCGGGGCAGCAGCAGGGGCAGCAGCAACTAACGGGGACGATTTCTGCGGAGGGGGGGGGCTCTGCTGCAGTGCGTTCTGCTGCAGCAGCAGCAGCAGCAGCAGCACGGTGGAAGTCTTGTTCACACAAAGGACAAGAAAAGTGGCAGTCTCTGAAGTGCAGCAGCAGCGCGTCTCCGTCGAGTGTACGTTCACCGCAGACGCTGCACTTGGGGTGTACAGACACCCCAGCTGCTGCTGCTGCTGCTGCTGCTGCTGCTGCTGCTGCTGCTGCTGCTGCGGGGTCCGCGCCGCGCCCCCCCCCGACCTGCTGCTGCTGCTGCTGCTGCTGCTGCTGCTGCATGTGCACGCGGTACAGGGCCTGCGGCAGCAGCTGCTGCTGCGGCAGCAGCTGCCCGTTGCTGCCCCACAAGCAGACGCAGCAAAGCTGCAGCGCGTGCTGCTTGTTGAGGTGTACAGACAGCTGAGACAAAGACCCGAACACTTGCTGCTCGTCGGCGGGCCCCGTGAACTCCAAAAAGTCCCCGCTGCTGCTGCTGCTGCTGCTGCTGCTGCTGCTGCTGTGGGCGTGCTGCTTGGCTTCTGCTGCAGCAGCAAGGGCCAGCAGCATCTGCTGCTGCTGCTGCTGCAGGTCAGCAGCAAAGACGTAAGAAAACAGCCAGCTGTCTCTGCAGGGCTGCTGCCAGCAGCGCAGCTGCAGCAGCGCCTCCACGTGTCTCCGAACTGCAGCAGAAGCAAAGGCCAGGCCTGCTGCTGCTGCTACGAGGTGGGGGGGCAGTGCTGCTGCTGCTGCTGCAGCGTACTGCGGCGGCTGCAGCAGCGCAGCAAGCGGGCCTGGCACTGCAGCACGAGCAGCAGCTTCCCCAGTAAACAGCAGCAGCAGCAGCGGGCTGCTGCTGAAGCAAAATGGACAGCTGCGGGCCTTGCGGGGGCCCAGCCGCAGCCGCAGCGCGCAGAGCCAGCAGCAAAAGTGGCAGCAGCAGCCAGCAGCAACACACGGCGTTTCTTCGCAGCAAACCACGCACTCCACCACCGCAAACCCCTGCTGCTGCTGCTGCTGCTGCTGCTGCTGCTGCTGCTGCTGCTGGTCTTGGGGGCCTAGGGTCGTGGCCCCTGCGGCTATCGCCGCCTCCACAAACACTTTGCATGCGTCCACGCTCACAGGCCCCCCCAGCTGCTGCAGCAGCAGCTGCTGCTGCTGCTGCTGCTGCTGCTGCTGCTGCTGCTGCTGCTGCTGCTGCTGCTGCGGTCTGTCGCGATGCCTGTGGGGCCCCCCACGCCCACGGCCTCCAAAATAATGCTCCGACTGGTACTGACCCCCCCGGGGGCCCCCCGTGCTGCTGCGGGGGCCCCCCGTGCTGCTGCGGGGGGGGCCCCCCGTGCTGCTGCGGGGGGGGCCCCCCGTGCTGCTGCGGGGGCCCCCCCCCCTGGCCCTGCTTCTGTTTCCTCTGCGGCCCTCTCCCAGGGCGCTGCGGGGGTTTGCTGCTGCTGCTGCTGCTGGGGCTGGTGCTGCTGCTGCTGCTGCTGCTGCTGCTGCGCTGAGTGACATGGTGGCTGGGGGCTCGGCCCAAACCCTAAACCCTAAACCCTAAACCCTAGGAAGCGGCCTTTGAAGCTGCTGGGGCTGGAGGAGCAGCGCGGCAGCAGCAGCTCCTGCTGCTGCTGCTGCAGTGCAGCGGCAGCAGGCTGAGCAGGAGACACACCAGGTAGAGCTGAAGCAGACACGACCTGCGCCCGCAAGGTCTGCTGCTGCTGCTGCTGCTATTGTTGCTGTTGCTGCTGCTGCTGCTGCTGACAACGCTCCTCGGCACTAGTCCTGCAGCTGCTGCTGCTGCATGCACTCGAAATTTCCGCCGCGAGGGCGGCGCAGAGCAGACAACGCGTCTGCTGCTGCTGCTGCTGCTGCTGCTGCTGCTGCTGAGGTGTCGCCGCAGCAATTGTTTTTTAGCAGACGTCTTCGACAGCAAAAAATGAAAAGTCTTTGCTAAAAAAAGTGTTGCTGCTGCTACTGCTGCTGCGGCGCCAGGCGCTGTTCTCCAGCGCATGGGACTGCTTCGGCTGCTGCAGCAGCAGCAGCAGCAGCAGCAGCAGCAGGAGCAGCAGCAGCTGCCGGCCACTGCGCGGGGCTTCCTTTCCGTTCTCGTTTGCTAAGCCATTATTGCTTTTTTTTCTGCAAGTTTATAAGAGAAGGCAGCTGCAGCAGCAACTGTATCAACTGCAGCAGCAGTGGCAGCACCAGCAACAGCAGCAGCAGCAATTCATACCACCAAGTCATTACTGGCAGCAGCAGCAGCAGCAGCAGCAGCAGCAGCAGCAGCACTGACACTCAGCAGCGCCCTCAGGAAAACACGAACAGTTGCTTGTTGTTGCTGCTGCTGCCATCGCCGCGGCCGTAGCAGCCGCTGCTAATGCTGCTGCTGCTGCAGGCTGCGCTGCTGCAGCATGAGCTTCTGGCAGCGTTTTCTTTCGCTGCCCGGGGGCCGTCCCCTGCAGCAGCTGCTGCTGCAGCAGCAGCAACAGCAGCAGCTGCTGCAGCTGCAGCAGGCCGCCACCTTCAGCAGCGGGAAGGTGGTGCTGCCGTGCAAGCTGCCCCCGGGCTTCAAGCTGACTGCTGCGCAGCAGCAGCAGCAGCAGCAGCAGCCTCAGTCAGCAGCAGCAGCAGCAGCAGCAAAGGCCAACCGCTTCAGAGTTGCTCAAGAGAGGAGGAAGAGGTGTAAACACACGCACGGCCAAAACGCCGTTTACTGATTTCCGCTGCAGCAGCAGCAGCAGCAGCAGCAGCTGCTGCTGCTGCTGCTGCTGCTGTGGGTCAATGTAGCAGCTGCAGCCGCGCGACAAGGACAGCGCGGAAGCTGCGAGCAGCAACTGTTTCGTGGCAGCAGCAGCAGCTGCTGCAGCAGCTGCAGCAGCTGCAGCTGATGGCTGCTGCAGCCGGCCGCAGTGGCTAGCAGCAGCTGCTGCAGCAGTAGTTGCTGCTGCTGCGAGCTGCAGCAGAATAATAGCGTTTGCCAGCAGCAGCAGCAGCAGCAGGTTTGAAGTTAGTCGGAAGTTCTGGGGTCTGGTGCTTTATGTGCAGCAGCAGCAGCAGCAAGTGTTGTTGCTGGTACAGCCTTGAATGCAGCAGCAGCAGCAGCAGCAGCTGCTGCTGCTGCTGCTGCTGCATTCAAGGCTGTACCCCTTGGGGGCCCCCGGCGCAGCGCCAAGGGGCCCCCAGGGGCCCCCCTGTATGTTCACCGCAGCAGGAACTTGACGCCTCTGTGCAAGGGTCATGTTTGCTGCTGCTGCTGCTGCTGCTGCTGCTGCTGCAGCAGCAGCAGCAGCATTTTTGTTTTTGAGGACCAGAGAGCCTTTTCCTGTTTTTGCCACTGCTTGCCAAGTAGCTCTGTCTAGCTGCAGCAGCAGCAGCAGCAGTAGCTAGCTGCAGCCAGCTATAGCTAGCTGTAGCTAGCTGCGGCAGTTGCAGCTAGCTCTAGTTAGCTGTAGCTAGCTGCAGCTAGCTGCAGCTAGCTGGAACAGCTGTAGCTAGCTCTAGCCAGCCGTGGCTAGTAGATAACTAGCTGTAGCTATCTGTAGCTAGCTGTAGCTAGCTGTAGCAAGCTGTAGCTAGCTGCAGCTAGCTGTAATTAGCTGTAGCTAGCTATAACTAGCTGTAGCTAGCTGTAACTAGCTGTAGCAAGCTGTAGCTAGCTGTAGCTAGCTGCAGCTAGCTAGCGACGATGGAAAAAGATTAGGGGGGAGAAACTCCGAGGGCGCAGCAGCAGGAGCAGCAAGGCAGGTACATGGGCTGCTGCTTTCAGCAGCAGCAGCAGCAGCAGCAGCAGCAGCAAAGTTTGCTGCAGCTGCTGTCTGGTCTTGCCTTCGCCCATTCAGGGAAAGCGGTCGATGTGCAGCTGCCACAAGTTGCTGTATTGCTGCAGCAGCAGCTGATGCTTCCGAAGCCAGCAGCAACAGCAACAGCAACAGCAGCAGCAGCAGCAGCAGCAGCAGCAGCAGCAGCAGCAAGCGCAGCAGCGCATCTGAAGGCACTAAGTAGGCAGTCGCTGTGGGAAAGACTTCATCTAGCTGCAGCTAGCTGCAGCTAGCTGCAGCTAGCCACAGGCGGCTAGCTGCAGCTAGCCATAGACAGCTAGCTGCGGCTAGCTGCAGCTAGCCAGGGCTAGCTGCAGCTAGCTGCAAACTTGGCTGCTGTGTGAAGAGCAGCAGCAGCAGCAGCAGCAGCATCTGCTGCAGCAGCCGCCGCAACAATTGCTGCTGCCGCTGCAGCTGCTGCCCTTCCAGGATCACTTAACATGGCGTTCTTTCTCTTGCTGCTGTTACAGCTGCTGCTGCTGCTGCTGCTGCTGCTGCTGCTGCTGCATGTGGGGCGGGAGCAGCTGCTGCAGCGCCCTGCAGCAAATGGCACAAAACGAAAAACAAAATGATTTAAAGACTTTATAAAGTTCTATTCTGCACTGAAAAGAAGCCACAAGGGGCCCCCTGGGGGCCCCTTGGGGGCCCCTAGGGGGCCCCCATGGGGCCCCTGGGGGCCCCTAGGGGCCCCTGGGGGCCCCCCGGCCCCACAGGCATTGAAATTTGCGGGGGTACTTCGCTGGGGGACGTTGGAGGCCCTTAAAATGGAAGTTGAAGAATAAATATATTTGCTTTTGTGTTGCTGCTGCTGCTGCAGCAGGCGGAGCAGCAGCAGCAACTGCCGCAGCAGCAGCAGCAGCAGCAGCTGCTGCCGAATCCCCGAAAGGCCAACTGTCCAATTTGCTTCCACGCACTTGCCCTCTTAAATTCTTCCCGCACTACCGATTCAGCAGCAGCAGCAGCAGCAAGAACCGCAGCAGCAGCAGCAGCAGCAGCAGCAGCAGCAGCAGCAGCATGGAGGCGCTGACGGGCGCGGGGGGCCCCCTGCCGCTGCAGCTGCTGGGCGTGGGCCCCAGCTGCCTGCAGCTGCTGTCGCTGCCGCTGCTGCAGCCGCAAATGACTTTGCTGCAGTCTGTGGGGTCTTGTGGGGGGGCCCCCGAAGCAGGTATAGAGGGGGCCCCCCGGGGGGAGGGGCCCCCCTTTGCTGCTGCTGCAGTTTGCTGCCTCGGCAGCAGCAGCAGCGTCGTTGCTGCTGCGCTGCAGCAAAAGCCCACTCTCGTTTACTTCAACATCCTCAAGAACGCTGCAGTGTACAGACAGTCCACCCCCACCATAGTCAGCTGCTGCTGCTGCTGCTGCTGCTGCTGCTGCTGCTGCTGCTGCTGCTGCTGCTGCTGCT